TCCAAAGAGAGGCCACCAAGCCTGGTAGGGGGAGTGAGGCGCATGCTGTCAGTTTAATGGTTCGTGCCTCTCTGGCCCCGCCCTGGTGTTCTGGCCACACCCCTCAAGCCATACTCTGCCCCTCTAGCAGCAACTGCCCCATGTTTTACATGAGGCTTTGGGGGGACAATCAGATACAAACCATAACACTCTTTAACAGATTATTACACTCCTGTAATCCCAGCATTCTGAAAGGCTAAGACATCTGCCAAGTTCCAGTCCAGCCTGTACAACACAGCCTTAAAAAAGAGAGGGACATCTCAGCATGAAGGCCCTAGGTCAGTGATAGTAAATCTTTTAGAGCTTTCAATGATAAACAATGCACTGCAGCATGCATGCCACAAGTTTGACACCACTACCCTATGTTTAATCCCCAGTACAAACTAGAGGGAAGAAAGTTACCCCTTTAAAAGGTATATTCTTTTTGTGACAGCAAGGTCAGGGAGATCCATCCAGTCCTTCCAAGAACATAAGAAATCATTAGAGACTTCAACAAAGAAAAAGGAGGTGACAAGTAGAACTCTCTCCATGAGTAAAGGACTCATTGCATGGGAGGGTTGCTCAAACCAACAGAAGCTTAGTGACTACTGACATTCGCCGAGGCCACCACAGAGAAATGCATCAGTGGACTGGAAAACTGGACACAGTGGACTGCAGTAGCTGGTAAGTTAATTCAGGTTCTGACATCTACCAAGAAAGGGTGATGATTTCAACAGAGGGCGACTGGCAAGTTGCCATCCTGGAGAGGGGCCTACTGAGCTGACTTCAAACTGGCAGGAAGTCAAGGAGCTGAGTTCAAGCTGATAGGAGGAGACATAAAGAGTGCTGTAGGCTAAACAAATCAGATTTCAGCCTAACAGCCAGAAACCAGCTTGAACATTAGCTCTGAACTAAAGATGTAAACTTGCTGGGATTGTCCACTAGCCTGCCATAAATCTATTATTGGCTTGCTGGGATTAATCAACATCAATCTGGGTTGCCTGCCTAGTTAGTCTACCAGTGCCAGCAGAGACACAACTTTTTTTTTTAATTGTTGATTTGTCTGTTCTTGTTGTTTTTTATGAATGTGAACATCCTAGTTTTTTCACTGTTCTTCTGTTCTTACTTTTATTTCCTCCTTGTCTCTTTCCCTTCTGTCTTCTTCACCAGTTCCCCAAAGTATACATAATCTTTCTTTGTCCCCCAGCCTTGCTTTTAATCTCTTCCTCTTTTCCTATTTCTCTATTTTACCCACTAATCTCTTTTATATTCTCACCTCTAAGGATAAAATCCCCATATTGTGGGGATATAAGTTTCTACTTTGGTTTAGATTTTATTATATAACCACAAATACAGTTCATAGTTAAAAATAGCAAATCAATAGTTGCCAGGGCTTGCCATTTTCTAGGCTGTGTTTGATGCTGTTGTTACTATTGACTGTACTACTTTATCCAAAATGGCGTAATTGGGGCTGGTGAGATGGCTCAGTGGTCTAAAGCACCTACTTAGAACAAGCTCAGCAAAGCACAGAGACCGCGGGGCTCAATCCCCCAGCACCATATGCCAGCCAGCTCCACCACCTGGTGGGCTGAGCTGGCCACACACACACACACACACACACACACAAAATGGCGTAATTGCTCTAATCAATTGTTCATCCCAGTATTGAGATTGAGATTGCCTCGGCCATAAATAATACCTTGGGCCAGTGTCAAAGAGCCAGGGGCAAGGCTAAATTACACAGAATGTCTCACCCCCAATAAACTGAAGAGGTAGGATCTTGCACAGACTCAAAATCCAAAAGCCAGCTATACCTGGAATAGATCTCTGAGAAACAATCATTTCCTAAAGGTTATAAATACTAGCAATAAAACTGCTTGCCATAAGCAATTTATAAGCATCAACCAACGAATTAAACAAAAGGA